AGTAGCAATGAAAATAATTTTGATTATTTGGAGTGTTTCTTGATTAAGTGTTTATGTTCTCAGTTCCCAGTTTAAAAATCACCAGATCACTAGCATTCTGTATTTATCATCCAAATACTTACACATACCATCTATCTTAAAATAGGCAATTATAATATCTTGCTTTCAGTGTAAGCTTCTCTTTTTAATTTAAAGTTTACTATCTGGATGGTCTTGTTTTTAAGCTTTGGATTGCTAAAGAAAAAAATTACGACACTATTCATTCTTTTTGTCCATCGTATATATGGACATCGTTTCTTTTAGGCCACGTGTACCGGCTCACTATCTAGTCTCCAATGTGGCGTAATATTTCCCGATGCACAAAAATAGTACTACTGACCTGAAGGCTGGCCTTTTGGTATTGTAGTGACATGTGGTCAGTGCCTGTGATCGACAGCAGCTGTAGCCTCGCATTCTGGTGTCATCATCCTTTTTACGTAGCACGTTGAGAACCGCATGGTAAAGTATGATTTGCCGTTTATTGATTTATTCAGTAGCCATCTCGGTACCTTCAGCGCGCACAAGACATTCGGCTTGGTGAGCAAAGCAGACTTACGGGGTCTAAACCCCCGGTTTCTTCAGATGCTTGTGAGGGTGCTCTGGGCATCCTCGAACTTTTACCTTGCCGGGTGAACTTACGGGGAGCTTATTCAGTTCCCTGAAGTCCGTGCGGCGGAAGGCTGTCGCGTACAGCTGGCCGGTACCGGTCCGCTTCTGCACGCGGCCAAACAGGTGGGAGGGGGGGACTCGGCCGGTAGACCGTGGTGCCGCTGAGCCGTGTGGAGGATCTGGCGGGCCGGCCCCGTGTGCACCCAGCACGCAGCCTCTTGTGGGGCCTGGGCTCCGCGTGAAGCGTCTGCTCGTGTGACAGGGAGAGATGTCCGTGAGGCCCCTACAGCTGAACACACGCGTAGGAGATACACAAGTCTTGCGCTAACACAATTCCAGGACGTCAGAGAAATTAGTAAATGATGGACCATTGGCTCTTACGAGAGATGAGGATGTGGTACGTATGTATCCTTATGAGACTCTCAGCGTTTTACTATAGAAAAATTCAACACCTACGAAACTAGAGAGAGGTCACATAGCTCTTTAAGGCAGAGACTGAGACACTGCGCGCGTGGGCTAGGTCACGCCCAGTCCCCCGGCTGGGGCACCGGCCCGCTCCTTGGCTGGAAGGCCTGTGGAGAAGCTCTAGGAAATGCAGACCAGCAGCTTAAATGTCTGTGTGGATCGTGGTCTTGCAAAATGGCCTGCCTTCTGCGCACGGCTTCCATTTTTTTCACTTGGGGACGTTCCTCTGCAAGGTCGGCGTGACCCTCAGCTGGCACTGGCAGTGCACTTGGTAGAGGTACAGGGTTGCAGAACGTCGGGAGCACCCCTCTGGTTCAGCCTTCCCCAGCCTTAGCCGGACAGCCGTCGTCACCCAGGAGCCCTTAAAATAGGCCGGCGTCTGGGTCCCAGCTCCGCGGGGTCCGGTTGGATGGTTCTGGACTAAAGCCCGAGATGGCCCAGATTTGAACTGTCCCCAGGTGACGAGTACGGAAACTGCGTGTCCCCGACTGGTCTGCGGCAGCGTGAGCAGAAGCCCCGAGGAGAAGGCGCGCCGTGTCCTCATCAGCAGGCACGACGTGCGCTGCCCGCCTGTAGCGGACGCCCGTCCCAGGCCGACAGCGCGTCCGGCCGGCCCCAGCGTGTCGCACGGGTCTCGGGTCTCCATCACTGTCGCGTCTCCCGCCCGTGCGCCCCGCACGTTACCGCCTTCCGCCGGGACAGCCGGCCTCGCGTTCCTGGGGCGAGAGCTGCTTGGTCGTGGCGCCCGGTCCCCTTTCTGTGTGGGCGCATCCGGTCCGCTGACGTCTGGTGGGGTCCTCGCGCACGCGCGTGGGGTCTCCTGCGGCTCTCTTCTCCCCCGGTGCCTTCGGCTTTTCTCTCGGGGACGTGCCAGCCTCCAAGGAGGCGCGCGGGAAGGTGCCTCGTCCTCCCCTCTCTTCCGGGAGAGGCAGTGTCACGGGCTGCCTTCTTCCTGAGGTAGGGACCGGGCTCACCGGTGAGTGCCTGTGGATTTTCCTGTGCGGGAGGGTTGGCATTACCAGTTCCATGTCGCCTCGGACTTTTGGGTCGTCTCGCTTCTTGAATCCGTTTTCGGCGTTTCTGACGCCATCCGTCCGTCTCGCCTCAGTGGCCTGACTTGGTGTAAAGGTGTTCATGATGTCCGCCTTCGCTTCTGCCGGGCCAGTGAGGTGAGTGGCTCTCTGCTCCTGAGTTTGGTGGTTTGTGCCCTGTCTCCCGTCTTGATCAGCCATCAGTTTCGTTGATCTCAAAAATGCAACTTTTGGTTTCAGTGATTTTTCTCTATTGTTTTTTTGTGTTTTATGCCATTGCTTTTTGCTCTGAGCTCACCGTTTTCTTCATTGTATTTTGGACTTGATTTCCTTTTTTCCTCTAGCTTCTTGAGATAAAAGCTCGGGTTATTGATTTCAGATTTCTTTTCCTTTCTGATGTAACTGCTTTAGTTGCACTGTATTTTTATTCAGGATTTTTTTGGATCAGTTTTTTATTCCTATTTCATTTCTCAGCCTGGCTTCCCAGGGGTCAACCCTGTTGTCGCATAGCTTCGTGGTCGGCCGGCCAGTCATTCAGGAAGAGATTGGCCAGTGGGCCATGAGTGGGGGCGGCACTTGCCCGAGCCCACGTCAGATCGTCCTTCCTGCCCGCCTCTCGGGCCCCGGCGCCCTCGGAGCGCACCGACCTAGGCCTTCAAGAGCCCTTGCGTCTCCGGGATCTCTCGTTACATCTCTCCGACTACTGGCTGGTCTGCTGTCATTCCACAAGGGACCAGGGCTGACAGATTGGTGGGCGTGCCCCATTCCCTTCCCTCCCAAGTTTTGCTGATTGTGCTGCTGTGGTTCCCCGGCCTACAGGCCGCTCCACGTCTGCCCTGTAGGCTGGAGGGGGGGGGGGGGGGGGGGGGGAGGTCCTGTCACTGTCACCGAGCAAAGACTGCCGGGCCCCACTCTGTCTTGTTTCACTTTCGTCAATTCCATGGACCTGAGGTGCTTGTTCTGGGCGGTTTTGTCCAGTTACAGATTTATCTTGGGGAAGGAGGTTGGCCAGTGTCTTCGTGCTGCCACAGCTAGAAGCCCTGCCACGTGTGACATTTCTCCTTTCGTCTTTCATGGGGCCCGATTACCTTGGGCAGTTTTTACAAAATCTCATCTGCACCTATCTCGCTCTAGCCCCTGTCCCTTCACTTTATTCCATTCAACTGGCCCTAAGAGAGAAGTTCAACATTTTTTTTTTTTAATTATTTATTATGAGAGTGAGCTAGCGTGAGTGGGGGAGGGGCGGAGAGAGAGGGAGAGAGAGAGAATCCCAAGCAGGTTCTGTGCCGCCAGCACAGAGCCTGACGCAGGGGTCGAACCCGTGAAACTGTGAGATCATGACCTGAGCCAAAACCAGAGTCGGATGCCTACCTGACTGAGCCACCCAGGCGCCCCAAAGATAAGTTTAGAGGGGGGGGGGAGAGAGAGGGAGAGAGAGAGAGACGTAGAACACAGGGACTGCAGCTGAGCTGACTTCCCAGGTCCTTCCGGAAGCACCGGGTGGCCAAGCAGTGTACGGGGGCAGGTGTGCTGGCCACAGGCCACTGCGCCCCCGTTGATCGGAGTGGTAGAGCCTTGCACCGATAGAAGTCTGAATTCTACTTTTCACATTCGAGCGTCCATTTCTGCTAAGATTCCGTCATTGAGCAGCTCAAGGTGGGGTTTCCTTGCCGTCCACACTTCCCTTCCTGGCCACCAGCCACTCTGTAGGAGACACGCTGCACTTAATACTGAGCGTAGCTGATAGGCACCATCCAGAGGTATTTTTTATGCCGCCGGGTGGTATCCTGAACGTAAGTACTGCAGCGTAAATGTGTTAAATAGCAAATATTCGACTGAGACCGCTTTAAAGCTCTAATGGGCTTCGTTAAACGACTCGTGAGTTGGGCAGCGCCTCATCCGGCAAAGCAGAGAGGCTCCCACGGGGTGTACAAGAGGGAAGGTCTTCTCAGGAGGAGGGTGGAGCAAGAGGGTTACTGCTCAGGCTGGTGGCTTTCCCTTAGGAGTCTTCCCGTGCCAGTGACCTCACCTTCCTCTGGGGGAGAGGGGCCCTTGTGGCCTGCTCTTTAGCCCTGATGGAAAATTCCTGATGCACCAGTTAAAACTACATTTCTCAAGAAGGTTGAAACTGCAGTTAGATTAGGGAGTGAGCCCTGGTTTGGGAACTCGGTGTGAGTGACACCGTTTTGGGCCTGTGGTTTTCTTTTTTAACAAATATCACCATTTTGAAGGTCAAGAAACGAGGGAGCATTAGTAAAACTCAAAAGGTTAGATTTCTGGTTCTTGTGAAGCTCTCACTAGGGCCCGCGCGTCCCTCTGTGTGCGAGGCCAGGGGAGGTGCGGGTGTTGGGGGCGGGGGTGACCGGGGGCCAGTGCTCTGTCCCCAGGGGAGGGTGGGCGCTGGGCCACAGCCAGTGAGGTACGTCCCAAGGACAGGGGACGGTCCACTTGTCTTTGGTTTAAAGACAGAGTAAAAGTTTAAAACCACTGCCTGGGCAGACTGCCCATATTTTAATAACAATGCTTTTGGAAATGGTAAATGTATGTTGAGTATGAGGTATTTTTAAGGTTAAGCACTATTGTGCTGAATGAAACAGCACATAGTGTAATCACAGACCTCTTGAGTGCATACGGTAATTAAAGACCTGCGTGTTATAAATTTCAAAAATATGATTAAAACCCAAACACTGTCAGATGAGAAATTTCCTCAGTGGCTGTAGTGAAATGACAGGTTTGGTTTCCTGCTTGTCTGAAACGGTTTTGCTCTCGGTTGAGGCTAGCAGAGACGGACTTCCCCGCCGCTGGGGAGGGCCTCCTGGCCACACACGTACTGACCAGCACACTGCCTTGTTTCAGCAGGGAGGAGAGAGCGACGGCTTTTTTCACCCCGAGGGCCAGCCCCAGCGGCTCCCGCAGCCCCCAGAAGCCAGACAGCCGCCCGCCCGCAAGGTGACGCTGACCAAGGGGGCCCCCCAGCAGCCCCAGCACCCACCGGTGGGGGCCCACATGCACTGTCCGGCCCTCCGGGCATCAAGAGCATCCAGGGAGTCCATCCTGCCAAGAAGGTACTGCCTGTGACCTAGGCTGCGCCCCGGGAGCGTGGCCGTCCTGCTGGTTCGAACGGTTCCCGTTTGGACGGTTCTCAGATAGGGGTGCCCGGTGCACGGGAGGGGGGTGCAGATACATCAGTAAGCGAGCCGTCATTTCCTTCGTTCTGGCTTTGAAAGCTCATGTGTTCACAGGAGCACTTTTCCTCTTCTGACTTTAAGGGGACAGCTTGGGGAAAGTCCCTGCAGCCGGGGGCATGGTTTTCTGTGGCTCTGACCCCTGTGTCCGCAGACCCCAGTCCAGTACGATTCCTTCCCCTCTTACCGGCTCTCCACACTCCGCAGACAGAGAGCCAGGCATCTGCTCACACACCTCCTTCTCATTAGCCCAGTGCATGAGTGGGAAAGTGAGGCCTCGGCTGGGGGGGTGGGGGGGGGGGTGGGGGGGGGGGAGGGACCCGACCTGAAGAAGGTGGCCCTGACCCTGGTTCTGACACACACTGTTGGACAGGAGATGAGGACATCCGAGACGCCTTCGGGGCAGGGGTGGGAGTGCATGTTCTCCTTTTGTGCACCGAGTCTAAAATCTTCCCTAGGAGAAGAGTGTCCGCCTTGTCCTGTCCTGTCCTGTCCCCATGGTAGGGTGCCCTCCCTTGGATGGTAGGGGAGCTGTCTCTAGCTTCCCCAAAGCCTGACAGTAAAGTCCCCTCTCTCCTCCCTTTTGGTGCATAAGCCAGATGCCCCTCGAATGATGAAGTTATGTGAGGGAGGAAGCAGGGCAGCAACACCTGCTTTGGGTTTCTTCTAGAAAGCTCCAGAGTCCACTAGCTCATCTATCTGTTTGTCTTGCTGCTGACCCAGGTAGTAATAGTATCAACATGAAGGCCGTTCTGGGTCTGTTACCTTGTCTGCATTATCTCGTAAGACCTTGTGATGTAGGAGCAAATAAGATTATTCCCTTTGCAACAGAAGACGTGTGCAGACATGAAGTCTTCTCTTCGGTCTTGGAAGGTCGCTCCAGTCTAAACTGGCTTCGGTCAGGTGCAGTCCCTGGATACAGGAGGAGAGGGGCCTTAGAGGCCCCGTCCCCCACGTACGCGTGCGCTTGAGTGAGCCCTCGAGTTTCTTTGTCTGAAACCTCTGTCTGCTCTGCTATGAAGGGAGGACAGTAGCGTTTCCTGGCTCATTTGGGCTCTTGGGTGGATTTCATGAGAAGTTGCATGTAAAAAGTATGGTGCCTGGTGGATCAGTAAGCGTTTGGTAAAGGATATTTTGCTGATGTTATAATTTATTATTTTTTAAAATGTTTATTTATTTTGAGAGAGCACACAGGGGTATGCGAGCAGGGGAGCAGCAGAGAGAGAGAGAATCCCGAGCAGACTTCACGCTCGGCGCATGGTGTGACTCGGGGCTCGATACCACGAAGCGTGAGATCACGGCACGAGCCGAAGTCAGGAGTCGGACCACCAGTTTGTTCTCCATAGTTAAGAGTCTGGGGGTATTTGGTCTCTTTTTTTTCTTTGTTTCGACTTGTTTTTTAAATTCCACATCTGAATGAAATTGAATGGTGTTTGTCTTTCTTTGACTTGCTTCACTTAGCAGAATACTCTCTAGCTCCATCCATGTTGTTGCAGATGGCAAGGTTTCATTCCTTTTGATGCCCGAGTAATATTCCGTGGTATGTATACACACCACACGTTCTTTACCCGTCACTTGGGCTGCTGCCACAGTCCAGCTGTTGTGAACAAGGCTGCAGTAATAAACATTGGGGTGCGTGTATCCCCTCGAGTTAGTGTTTTTGTGTTCTTTGGGTAAATACCCAGTAGTGCTAAATCCTAAAGTCGTTCTACTTTAACTTCTTGAGGACCTTCCGTACTGCTCTCCACGGTGGCTGCAGCGGTTTGCATGCCCACCGACAGTGCACGAGGGTTTCTTTTACTCCGCGTCCTCGCCAACACCCGTTGTTTCTTGAGGTTTTTTTCTTTAGCCATCGGACAGGTGTGAGGTCGCGTCTCATTGTGGGTTTGATTTGTATTTCCCTGATGGTGAGTGACATTGAGCATCTTTTTGTGTGTATGTTGTCTTTGGAGAAACGTCTGTTCGTGTCTTGTGTCTTTTTTAATTGTGTGATTTGTTTTTTGGGTGTTGAGTTGTATCAGTTCCTTATATATTTTGGATGCTAACCCTTTATCAGGTAAGTCATTTGCAAATATCTTCTCCCATTCTGTAGGTTGCCTTTTTAGTTTTATTGATTGTTTCCTTCGCTGTGCAGAAAAATTGTATTTTGATGTAGTCCCAATAGTTTATTTTTCGTTTGTTTCCCTTGACTCAGGAGACCTATCTAGAAAGATGTTGTTATGGCCGATGTCCGAGAATTACTGTCTGCGCTCTCTTGAAGGATTTTTATGGTTTCGGGTCTCACGTTCAGGTCCTTAGTCCGTTTGGAGTTTATTGTCGTGTGTGGTGTAATAAGAACATGGTCCAGTTTCAATCTTCTGCATGTGGCTGTCCGGTTTTCCCAGCGCCATTTGTTGAAGAGACTGTCTTTTCCCCATTGTATTTTCTTTCCTGCTTTGTCGAAGATGAGTTGACCACATACTTGCGGGTTTATTTCTGGATTTTCTTTTCTGTTCCATTGATCTGTGTGTCTGTTTTTGTGCCAGTGCTTCGGTGTTTTGATGACTGCAGCTTTGGAGTGAATCTTGCAATCTGGGCTTTTGATACCTCCTCCAGCTTTGCTTTTCCTTCTCAAGGTTGCTTTGGCTGGGGGTCTTTGGAGGTTCTGTACAGATTTTAGGATTGTTTGTCCTAGTTCTGTGACAGATGCTGTTGGTTTTTCCACAGGGATTGCATTAACTGTGTAGATTGCTTTGGGTGGTGCAGAGTCTTGAACCACGCTTGTCCTTCCGGCCCCTGAGCGTGGGATATCTTGTTTCTTTGTGTCTCTGGTTTCTTCATCAGTTTTAAGGTTTTCAGACCACGTGTCCTTCATCTCTTTGTTAACTTTATTCCTGGGTCATCATTTCTGGCGCAGCTGTAAATGGGACTGATTCCTTCATTTCTCTTTCTGCCTTCTCTTTCTTCTCTTTCTCTTTCTGATTCCGCTTCATTATTGGTGTACAGAAATGCAGCAGATTTCTGCACGTTGATTTTGTATCCGTCGACTTTGCCGAACTCATTTATCAGGTCCAGCAGTTTTTTGGTGGAGTCTTTCGGGTTTTCCATGGAGAGTGTCATGTCATCTGCAGATAGTGAGTTTGACTTCTCTCTCAACCGATTTGGATGCCTTTTATTTGTGTTGTCTGATAGCTGTGGCCAGGACCTCCAGTACTGTGTTGAATAACAGTGGAGAGTGGACATCCCTGTCTTGTTCTTGACCTTGGGGGAAAGGCTCCCACCAATTCCCTGTTGACGGTGATGTCAGCTGTGGGGTTTTGTTTGATATAAGGCGTTTATTATGTTGAGGTTTGTTCCCTCTAAACATACCCTAAACAGGGTTGTGTTGAGGGTTTTTATCGTGAATGGATGCTGTACTTTGTCACATGCTTTGTCTGCATCTGTTGAAGTGATCGTATGGTTTGCATCCTTTCTCTTGTTGGTGTGATTTACGTGCAGCCTTCGATGTGTGTTTTCCAGTGTGACTCTGAAATATCCTTTTGTACTTTTCAAACACTCACTTCACGGGAGGACGTTTGCCACCGTCTGCAGAGTGTTAAGAAATGTGGTTTTGGATGCATTTACCTTCTTCTCTGGCCTTTTCTATGATGGAACAGGGGGTCATTTTTGCTCCTTTGTACCCAGACTCTAGGGCAGAATTTGGGGAGGCTGTCTGGAAACCCTGGTACTGTTCACTCCCACCCAGCCGCCTGCATTTCACTGCTGCCCTGAACAGGAGACGCTTCATCGAATTCTCTAGCTGGAAAACAGCAGAGGGGCGCCTGGGGGGCTCAGTCGGTTGAGCGTCTGACTTCAGCTCAGCTCGTGATCTCGTGGTTCGTGGGTTCAAGCCCCGCGTCGGGCTCTGTACTGACAGCTCGGAGCCTGGATCCTGCTTGGGATCCTTTGTCTCCTTTTCTCTCTGCCCCTCCCCCTGTTCGTGCTCTTTCTCTCTTTCAGAAATAAACATTTAAAAAAAAAAATGAAAAAGAAAATACCAGAAAGATCGGCTGCGTCCTCTTACTTAAAAGGCCTTGGAATCGTTGGAATAGTGGTTTTGAACCTTTGGCAACTTAAAAAACTGCTAAGGCCTGGGCCCTTCTGTAGACGTGTGATGACTTAACGTGGGTGGGAGTGAGCGCACGGGCATTGCTGTGGCTTGGATTTCTTTTGGTGTCTGTCGTAAAAGCCGTGTAGACGATTGTGATGTGCAGCAGCTGGGAAGCGACCCCCGCTGGCTCTCGCTGGCCCCCTGCCACAGAACCCGCCTTTCGGGTTCTCGGGGTGCCACACGTCGTCCCGAGGGGACCTGGGGGGCATAACGTGGCCTGTGGTGGCACCAGCCCCCACTGGCGTGGCCTGGAGTGCGCTGGGAGAAATTTGGGCTCTCGGGCTGTTACGACTAGGCCCAAATAAGTGTCTCAGCCCCTGCGACCTTGCCGCTTTGTCTGCAGCACGGCGGCTACACGGGAAGCTACCCATCCGTGCTCGCTGCCAAGGTGGGGGTTGGACTGAGACGCTCCCGCTTTCTTCCTTTGCCTCCCTCCAGGTCTGCTGGGCGCTCTTTCAGCTGGACACGGAACCCTGCGGACAGTGGATGCAAACCACGGAAAATCCTGTAGCTCGTGGTGTATTTTAATGGATTCCGAGCCGTTTGCTCACTTTTATGACCCCAGTAGCTATTAAAACCAACAGACCAGAGCTTAGAAGTCGAACAGTTAACTCTTGTCGTTGGCAGGTGGTCACGCATGGGAGAGGCCGAGGAGTGGCGGGGGCCGTGGGCCGGGGCCGCCTGATGCCAAACAAGCAGAACCTCCGGGTGGTGGAGTGTAAGCCGCAGCCCTGCGTCGTGTCCGTTGAAGGGCTCTCTTCGTCCACCACCGACGCCCAGCTGAAGAACCTACTGATGTCAGTCGGACCCATCCAGGTGGGTGTCCTGGGGCCTCTCCCAGGACCCCGATTCCCTTTGTGTTGGTTACTTCGTGTTAAGATAATACGTTTGAAAAGACATGCACCTGTTTTATCCATTTTGCATACTTGAGATCGGAACTTCTGCCGTAGATTATTTGGCAGTTTTCAGGTGCTCCGTCATGGAATTTAGGAAATAATTTTGCCAGCTGAACAAATTATCTTCTGGAATTCTTCTACTGTCCTCGCGTTCACGTACGCTCCTGAACATAGATACTTTTTGTTCTGTCACACACTTGTGTTTATGATATTTAGAAATTTTTAAAGCATTTAACCTTCCTGACCTTGATTTCCAGAAACAGCGCACGTGTTAACAGCTGTGAAACTTGTTTTAGATTTTATGAACATGAGATAATGTAGACTATATTTTGATCTCGTTATTTTATATTTTTTTAATCGTTTGTTTATTTAGAAAGATTGGGGGTGGGGGGACAGAGAGAGAGGGCGAGAGAGGATCCCAGGCAGGCTCCACCCTGTCAGCACAGAGCCCTGATGCGGGGCTTGACCTCACAAACCATGAGATCGTGACCTGAGCTGAGATCAAGAGTCGGATGCTCAACAGACTGAGTCACCCGGGTGCCCCAGTCTCTTTAAAGTAAGTCGGTTCTAAATGCTTCAAAGTTCCTGCTGAGCCGGTTGCACATAGGTCTCCTGTATGTTGTGCTGTAAACCGAATTCTCCATTCAGATCCCTGATCTCTGCTGCTTCTACTCGAGGCCTGCAGGTAAACCAGCGGAGAAGTGGGTTGACCTGGTTTTCCTTCGGCCGAGGGTTTCCAGAGCCCTGTATCGGACCTTTCCCACCGGCGCCTCCCCTCCCCCCAACAGGCGCCATTGGCACCACGTCAGACCCCGTGCAGGCAGGATGTAGGGCGTGAATGTCGGGTTTCTGCGTACTTGCTTTCAGGATATGTTCCAGTCTCTTGCTGCGTGAGCAAGCAGGGGGATGTTTTCAGACTAGAGGTGATACAAATAATTTTCAACAGGTCTTAAGTGTCTGATGTTGAGAAATATTAAACGTGAGGAGTAGGTGAAAGCCCTTCCGGAAAGCTCCCTGTTCTCGAGGTATCATGACTTCCACCGTCAGTTTGGGATTTCTAGTGTTTATTTGTGTGTCGTAGTGGAACGTGAGCCAGAAACTCAGGCTTCTGTTTTCAGTGCCGTCCTTACTCCGCAGTGTGGCCAGAGACCCTTGTCACTTACCGGAGGCGTCAGCACTGCGCTCATGGATGGTCCTTCCAGACCGTTAATGACTAATTTGCAGGAACAGAGTGACCGGAGAGTTCAGATGCATGAAAATGTGCTTAAGCTGGTGTGAGGCTCTCCCACCAATGGTGGTTGAGAATTTGGGGTCCAGGTGCAGGGTCAGGCAGGGCGTCCAGATGTAACAGAGCAGAGCCTAACCTGTGGGATCTGAGGGCCGGCGTTGTCCGGGAGGCTCGAGCTGTGGTCTCACTGCCCCGGTCTCCGCGTGGGCCGGGAGTGATGGCACTGTGCTCTCCACGTGTGCCTGTCAGCATTTGTGGCTTTGCTTCCTCACACGGAGTCTCGATCGTTCTCTGGAGTGTCCTTGACTAGGATGTGGTTTTCAGGACCCATGTCTGAGCAGTGGTGCTATTTGCCTCTCCTCACGCTGAAGGGGGGGGGGGGGGGCGGTGGCTGCACCACAAAAATCAGCTTGGAGCTGATCTGCATTTGGGGCTTATAGTCTCTCGAATGGATTTTTTTTTCTGTTCTGAAAAGGATTCGAGATGATTATGTTACGAAGTTTGATTGTGGGAAGTAAAGCCAGACCAAAACGGCGTTGGATTATTTGATGCCTTGTTTTAATTCGAAAGTTAGAGAAGTAGGAAGATGAGAGTGAACTTTCTAGGTTACGTCAGTCACTCTTACAGTGGGGTCTCCGGAAGGTGAAGCCCCCGGTGCCCCTGGGAACTGGCTGTGGCAGGCCGGGCTTCGCACCCGCATGAGGCCCATCCCTTCCTCTGGGGACCAAAGCCGGGTGCCCTCCTCTGGCTCGTCTCTATCCCAGAGGATGCTTTTGAGTGGGCCTGTACGGTGTTTAGATACCACGTTCACAGAATGCCAAGTTTCTTACTGAAAACTACTATAACGAGCATCTGCCGGTGTTTGGAAGCTAAAGAACGATACCGATAAGTATACGTTTTAAGAAGATGTTTGTAACGAGAACTGGTTATGGTTTAAACTTGGGTGGGATGGTGCCAGGTAGCCCCGGCCTCCTGTGGTCCTGACGGGAGAAGCTTCTGTGTGCGGTGGACTGTGGCTCCACCTCGCGTCCACTCGGTGTAATAGCAGGTGGTGCTGTCTAGAGTAGGAAGGTCCCCTGTTTCTCTGGGCTTTTAAATTAGACTCCTAACCGCATGTGACCTCTGCTCCTTAAGCTGTGGAATCCGAGAGGCTTTCTCAGTGTGGCTCTCGGATTAGCATGTTATTCCCTTCAATGGTACTCACAAGGCTCTCTAGAAAGTCCGTTTTAAAGACCTTAATCAACTCGCTATTTCCAGAATGAGGAACAACGTGCAGATCTTGTAGAAGCGTGACAACCGGAAGGCAGCAGTGGCGTGGGAAGTGCGGTAGCGGGTCCCAGAATCTTGGGGGAGGTGGCGCGTGGCAGGCACAGCCGCAGCATTCCACTCGTGAGCGGGTCCGAGAGACGCGTCTGCCTGGACCCCAGCCCCCGCGAGAAGGGAGCCCGGTCACTGCCAGGCACACGTGCCCTGTGGGCTGGCGGACACACGTTCCTGCAGCAGTGACCCTGACCTCCCACTCTGTCCTGAGAAACGGAAGCCAAGGTAGCTCTTAGATCAGGAAGTAGGGTAGTTAGGACCTCCGTGGCTTTTTCGTGTAATTGCTTTTAGTTCCCCGTTTGCTAGATTGTGCCTCAAATTGTGCTAAGAAGAAAGATTCATTACTCCGTAAATAAACGTCATGGTGTAAAAACACAAAAGCAGTTTCCTCACAAAGGCACGAGGTTTGAGATCGCTCAGTGAGAGTATGACTGTCCCCTGTTGTGACCCTCCCTGAGGATGAGGCCGGCCAGCGCTGGCTCGTGCCCACACATACCCGGCACCGCGCTGTCTCCACCGCCTCCGTCACTCCCGTGTCCCGTGCCCCGGCTGGGGCCAGAGGGGGAGCGCGAGCCATGGGTGTCCTTTGCGGCACAGCCGGGCTGTTAGCCAGGCTCTCTTCTTCGTCTCGAGTCTAGGCCTTTCTGTCGGGCTCTCCCCACCCGCCGCCTTGTAACTCTCCCGGTGCCCGGCCTGAGCAGGCTGGAGGAGACGCATGGCCTCCTCGTCCCCCACGGGGTGGCAGGTGCGAGGGGTGTCTGCCTGCCCCCAGACGCTGCACTTCGGGGCGGCGGGTGTCGCAGGCTGGCGTGGTTGAGCCCCCGTGGGCGGTCGTGCGAGAGCGTGAGCCGCTGTGAAGGAGCGTCCTGTTCCAACCCGGCCGCAAGGCCCGGCTGGTGTAGCCAACAGAGTTGGAATCTCAGGTCGGTGGTTCTGAAGTTCAGGACATCGGGGGAGAAGACACGGGTGTGACCACGTGATCTGAAGCCTCGATGGAAAGACTGCTTACTAGGGGCCAGAGAACGCAGAGAACTAGGTCCAGAGAACGCAGCCGGCAGTAACGCCCACGGAAAGAGGACTTCGGGATGGCAGTGTGACGGCACTGGGGCTCCCCGGGGGGGGCCAGCGGGAGGGAAGCCGGCCAGTGCGGGGAGCGGCGGGGGTCTCAGCACGGAGAGTGGGCACGCGGGGCCCTGGGGAAAAGCGCAGCGCGGGCACTGGACCGAACCCGTGGCGGCAGGTGCAGCTGCGAGAGGGTCCTGCGAGGAGCTGGGTGTCGGGCCTGCCGTGTGGCACACGCTTCCATCCTTGCTGCCTTTTGCCTCTTGGGGCCCCTGTGCCTTGTGGGGACACCGGTCTGCCGCCGACCGGGGGCTCTGGGACCTGCCTCAGTGGGGCCACCCCGGCCGTGTGAGTCACGGCTATGGTGGGACCTGTGGGGACGCGCTCCTCGTGACCTGTCGGTGGGGCTGCTCTCAGATAGCACCACTGTGTCTAAAATTGACCGTCCTGTTCTTGGCAGAAGGCACTTCCCGCGGGTGCTAAGAGCGACCGGCCGGAGGGGCGGGACGCCGACACAGATCTTCAGGGCTACGCAACCCTGTTGGCGTCCCCGTGACATTTTGGTTGATCTGAGTTGGCGTCCCCGCGACGTGGTAGTTGATCTGAGCCTGTGGGAGAAGAGGCAGGGTGCCGTGCACACGGACATCCTCCCGGGATGAGACCGCAGGCTGTCGGAGGCCGGGCCGGAGGGGGCTGCAGGGCGTCCGAGCAGGCGGCTCGCAGCCGAGGGTTTCGTCTTGCGTTTTGCTACGTGGAGGAGCGCGGTCACTCACCGTCAGGACGTGCGGGTGTCTCCCCTCTGAAAACGGAAGCGCGTCAGGCCGGAAGTTGGTGCCTTGGCCTTGCCCCCTGCGTGCCAGGGGGGGCGCCTGCGGGAGAGGCAGCCGCGGCAGCAGAGCGAGCGCAGGCCCGGAGACGCGGTGCAGCTTCCGGTTTGCTCTGGCCCAGCCGGTGTCTGTGCGGGGCTGTGCCGCTAGCTCGTGCGAGTGCGGCTCTGCACCGTGGAAGCCGGGGAGCACGAGGCTTCCGGCTTCCAGCTTCCGGCGCACAGTGCCCACCCCTCTGCTCCCAGTAACGAAATCCTGGAGCTCTCGTTTTCGTAGGTCAGAAATGGCAGGGTAGGGATAGTTTCTGCAATTCAGTCTTCTGCCTAGAAGACATCGTTTGGTTTTTGGAAGAAGGTACGAAAATGTAAATGAAGGACATAACCAGGAACATTTTAGGAGCGTGTTCTCATCGCTGGTGTTGACTGCTTGAGCTCCAGGCCTTTCCCTGTGAGGAATTGGCACGGGGAAGTTTCCCCGTGAGGAGTTGCCGTCTCGTCCGGCACCTCCTCAGACCGAGGTCTAAACTGCTTAGGTCCCAGTAAGTTCTGTTGCATCAGGCGTTTTACCATTTTATGTGGTAAGTGGTAAAAATGAAGCATCGTGCCTTCATTTCACATTGCGAAGTCACCCAGAGGAAATCGCCCTAGATACCTGGAAACCTGTTTTTCTGAAAACAAACAAACAAAACCGTGGTATTTTCAGAAACCCAGATTCCATCTGTGAATTGTACGGTATGAATAATTATCTGCGGTAGCATCAGCAATTAGTTTTTTCCTGTCTGTTCCTAAGGAACACGTCGTATTTTTAGACAAGGTAGATTTGGGGAAGTTGTTGGGATTCTTGCCTGAGGTCCGCCGCGGTGCCGGCAGCAGCCACCAGGGGGCACGCACCAGTGAGCGGCGTGGCTGCAGCGGGGGTGGGGGCGCAGACAGGACCAGAGAGCCGGGCCTGGCAGCGGGCCCCCTGCAGGTGCCCAGGGCTGCCTGTGCTCTGAGCGGATGCTTTGGAACCCATTGCAGGGTGCGGCACAGAACAGGCACGAGCGGGTGGAGGAGGCTGGCAGCTCAGGAGAGAAAGTGGGTCTGTGCAGGACTTGTAGGGAGTCCCCCGGGCCAGAGGGGCCACAGTGCCGAGCGCGTCTCCAGGGAAGAGAAGTCACCTGCGTTCATTCCAGACCAACTACGGCGTTTTGCCAGTGCTCTTAACCCTAGGTGGAACCCTCTAGCAAACCCTGCTTCTGCTTTTATACCCCAGGTGAGAGCAGTCTCGTGTTGTCCCGAGCTTGCCGCCTGTGCTCCTGCTGGGTTGGGGGTCCCCACCACCCGCTTGCTGCTCCTTGGCCGAGTGGTCCGCATGCTCACCTTCCCACCATGTCATTTGGAGACTTGAGACCGTTCATTTCTTTGTAAACACTGAAAGGTGACTTTTGGGAAAGTGGGTGTTCCATAGAGCTCTCCTAGTTGTGTTGACTGATAGATGTCTTGTGGGTATTAAAACGGAGACTTCTCACTTTGCGTACGGTATACCTTTTTGAGTATTTTTGTGTTCCCACCGTAGATCTTTGATAAATGCTTTACAATTAAACAGCCACATATGCCGCCACTTTTCAGGGTCCCGTGCCTCCATCAGCTGTGTTTTCCGGCTGTCCTACTTCGCTAGACAGCATCTAGACACGGTGGGTGGCGGCCCCCGCGTCGTGTCCTGCTGTGAGCGGGGTCCCGCCTTGGCCGCTACGCGCCTCCCTCTCGGCAGAGGCTGCCGCCTGCACGGCGCCCGGACAGTGCGCAGGACTGCGTGCGGCACCGCAGGCTTGAGAACGATCGGGCCCTTGAGAGTGGGACCGGCTGAGAGACCACACAGGTCTCCTCCTCTGACCTGGGCCTCCCGGATCCTCAGATCCCAAACCCCAAGGCCTCAGGGCAAGCTGGGGGACCACGTGTGAGTCCCCTCTGTCCAGCACCTTCCTTTCAGACGTGTAAGATTCTCTCTTCACTTGATGGATCCTTTCTGTCTGTCTTCTTCACGAAAGGGTGTGGTTTTCAGCGCAAAGAGTAGTGGCCTCTGGAATGGTTGCCTTGGCTCCAAAGGTTTCATTTAAGATGTCACTTAGTAATCGAGTGTCTAAGCACAAAATGTGATCAGACTGTGCTGACAGCTGCCACTGGCGAAGCTGTCCCTTGCTGTGGGTAGCTGGAGGTGTGAAAGCCTCCTTGGTTTACCCCAGTGGTAATTGTGGGGTCCCCCTGCAAAACAGCAGTTTCCTCCTGTGTGATGTAATACTGCTTTTTAAAAAAAAAAATCAGTGAGGGTCCCATAGAAAATTGTGTGGCAGGAAGGTGTGCAAACGGGGGGTGACTCTCCAGAAGTGTGTGTCATTGGGCCTCACAGGGAGGGTTGAGGGAGGAGATTGAGTGACTCGTGTGGCCAGATGATGCCAGATCCTGACACCAGGCTGGGGGGTGGCGGGGGGTTACACTCATGGGAATGGCTTTTGGGGACAGATTCTCTGGATCAGGGAGGAAAAATTGCTGGGGAGATAGTTTCCTTTAGTGATCCAAGTGTCAGCCTGGACTCGTATTTTGTATTCAAGCTGATGTATAAATATGCTGGGTTTTGTTTTAAGCGTATACAACATGATATCGAAGTGTTTCTCAGGGCGCCTGGGTGGCTCAGCGGGTTGAGCATCTATCTTGATTTGGGTTCAGTTCATGATCTCAGGGCTGTGGGATCAGGTCCCGCCTCTGGCTTTGTGCCGAGCGTGGAGTCTGCTCAAGATTCTTTCTCCCTCTGCCCCTCTCCCCCCTCTCACTCTCTAAAATTAAAAAAAAAAAAAATTTTTTTTTTAAATATTTCTCTGTTGGGGCGCCTGAGTGGCGCAGTTGGTTAAGCGTCCGACTTCAGCCAGGTCACGATCTCGCGGTCCGTGAGTTCGAGCCCCGCGTCAAGCTCTGGGCTGATGGCTCAGAGCCTGGAGCCTGTTTCCGATTCTGTGTCTCCCTCTCTCTCTCTGCCCCTCCCCCGTTCATGCTCTGTCTCTCTCTGTCCCAAAAAAAATAAAAAACGTTGAAAAAAAAAATTTAAATATTTCTCTGTTTTCTTCCCTCTAGAGTTTACAGATGCTTCCCCAGCAACGGAAAGCCATAGCTAAGTTCAAGGAACCGGCTCATGCGTTAGCATTTCAACAGAAATTCCACAGGTAGCCTGTATATTCCGTGGTCGGGGTGACAGTGGGAGCGGGCGGGAGAGCCTCCCCGCTGTGGTTTGCTCTCCAGCAAAGCAGCCGTGGTTTCACACGTGTGCGCGCCCACCTGCCGTGGTAGAAACGCGCCAGTAATGCGTGCCGAGCGCAGACAGCGTGCCCTTCCCCTCGTGCAGTGTGGGGCATTGGCTCCCGGGTTTTGCGTTGATCTCTGTCTGCATTTTTATGGAGTTGTCATCCGTCGGGACCTACCATCGTAGTTTTCCCATACCTTGGTGACCTGACCGCTCATCTGTGGAGTTCGGTCGGCGTTGACTATTTCTTTCCCTCTCCGCAGGCACATGATAGATTTGTCCCACATAAACGTGGCCCTGATTGTTGAGTGATCTCTAGCAGGAGACGCTGACCCGACACGGAACACTCGCTGTGGGATTTCTTCAGGGAAGCCGCGGCTCACACCCCCACGAGCACGGCCTCTCCGCGCACAGTCTTGCGTAACTGTTGTCCGGAGAGCGGCCGGCCCGGCGTGGACTCCAGCAGAGCCGGACTTGGGGACGTGGCGGCCTGGGCTCCGGTGTTACACGCTCCCCGTTCTGTTGTCACCACAGAGAACTACACTTTCCGGTTTCTTTTGTTTTCAAAGTGCTTACGATGCATGTAGCCCTTGTTCTTCGTGATCGTGCTGTGTGACCGATCACAGTGACTTAGGTTCAGGAAGGGACGTTAGCGCCACAAATTCTGAGTAGTTTCCACAGCAAAGAACACTTGATAATGGTTGCACCCATCTTCAGTGCAGGCTAGACAAGGGTCTTCCCAGCCGAGCGGAACCGCGCTGTCCTCTCAGAAAGCCCTCACGAGGCTCTTGGAAGCACGTAGATTAAAATTTGGGTGATGGTGACGGGCAGCCGCGTGTCCTGGCAAGCAGGACGTGAGGGCGGTTGGGAGCGATGCCCATTGTGTGGCGGATTCTGCTTCTTGTAAATACTCCAGAAGCACCAGCTGCGTGTTCCTAGTTGCGGAGGGGACTCCGCACCCCTCCACTCTTCCCCAGTAAGGCACCAGTCCTGGCAGGCCCCGCCGTGTCTCCCTGGGCCTAGAGAGGGCGCCTGTGGCGCCGTCACCCTGCAGCCCTTCGGAGCCCTGCCAGGTGGGTCGTGTTGCACATCTACCCCGCGAGGCAGAGGCAGGGGGACTCGGCCCGGCCCCGTGTGGTTTGTTCCTCTTTGTAAATGTGGCCCGAAGCAGCATATTCGTGTCCCTGGCTCTGTGACATACAACATTCTTCGGGAACTTGGTTATCATTGCTCTGATTAATTTTTTTTTTTTTTTTTTTTTTTTTTTTTTTTTTTTTTTTTTGAAGGCCTTTTGAGTAGGGCTGTGCTGCCCTTGAGCAGAGCCAGGAGCAAGGTGGCCTATGTGCTGGCGAGTTGCCCCTCGTGGGGTGTGGTGTGAGGGATGGCTGTCCTCCCCAGACCGTGCAGCCCAAAGTGAAATTGAAATGTGTTCATGTGGCCCCGAACCTGCTTGAGGAGTTCTGGGTAGGCTCGTTTAGGTGAGACTTTTCCTTCCCGTAAAGCAACGTTTAGTACAGTTCATTCCGGTCAAGTCTTTAAAAAAGTGCCTTATTGTATTTCTGCTCAAGAACGGGTTTATACTAACGTGGACCTGAACTGTTTGAGCAAGTAACAGCTACCAAGGCACACTCAGACTTTTTAGCTGTGTTTTATACCTGAGATTTCACGGCAGGTTTACTAGTAGAATTAGAGGAAAACAGGAGCCTGCCGCCTCCAGATGCCACCGGCCAGCCCTGCGGGGACCAGCTCGAAGCCCCAGAGCCCCCGCCGCCAGGCACCCTCCCTCCTCCGAGCCTTCGCGCGGGGGCTGGGACCCAGGCCGCGTGAGCCTGTGTCGTGTTTGCACAGGTGAAATTTTATATTTTTGCAACTTCAGTTGCCCGAACTGGAGGGGAGCGTTCAGACCCCGTGAGGCTTTCTGTGGCGAGGGTTCTAAGTGGCATCCCGCGGTAGGAGGAGGCCTGGAGGATGAAGGTGGGTGTTGGCGGCTGCTTTTCAGAAGGTGTAGGTGCCAGGAAGCGAACGGGCACTCCCAGGGTGCGCCCCCCAGCTGAGGCGCCTGGCCGCCTTGTTCCAGAAAGCCCCTGACTCAGCTGCGCCAGGCCTGCCGTGGTGCTCCAGGGGAGGGTCCGCACAGTCCGTGCCCTGTCCCTACCCTCGGTCGACACGCACGTCCTGTCCGCTGTTGTCACAGGGAGAGACGGATGTGTTCGTGTGTTTAAAAGCGTAGTTTACTCGGCTCAGTCCACAGAGAGCTGCGTTGAAGCAACGAGCTTGACAGCCTGCTAGTTACGACACATCCAGACCCCTTGCCGGTGCCGGGCAGTGGGAAGGCTTTCAGTTGACGGACTTGCTTTTTATCACCAAGAACCAACTGATGCAATAAAATGAGCTTAAAAATTTTTTACCATTTTCTGAAATAGTCTGAGTGTGCCGTATTGTCTCTGGAAAGTAGGCACATAACAAAGAGCTTTTTCCCTAGTTAGTGATGAGAAGTCATCAGTCCTGCGTGGGCACCGCTGTTCAAGACCTGGTGGTGACATTAAGGTCTGCTTTCGGCCTTGTCCGAGGACGATACGGGCGCCATGGGACGTGTGTCTGTTAACTGTCTACACACGTGAGCCTTCTCTTGATGTGGTGTTCTTGAAAGCCTTTGGCCACGGGGAGCTGGGCCTTCGTAAAGCCCTGGTTAGAATGGCCCCGTGTGCCCGGCCGTTGGCAGTGGCCGCAGTTAGTGCCGGCCGGCCCGGAGCAGAGGCTTGGTTTCCTTAAAGGGAGCTGCGGAAGGGAAAGAAGCAGAATTAGAAAGTAACGTTATTTCCATTCTCGGTGCGCTTCTCGCGGTGAAATCAGACCACCGTAAGCCGAACCCTTTTGGAAGATCTGTTGCAACCATTATCTTTGTTCTTTATTTATCATGCATTTAAAATGACATGCAGAAGCATTTAACATACTATGTAAATATGGACCTTTTAAAATTAAAATGTTAATTGGAAACGCTTTCAATTCAGCAACAATCTTAGCTATTTGTTAGTTCTTTTGTGTTGTCTTATCGAAGTTAAATGGATTCCGTTCCATAATTGTTGATGTGTCTGTGTGTAAATCCGATTTTTATAAAGATGGTAGTTAAGTCAATACATGTATCCTGACCTGTGTATTATTTGTTTCCAAATTCAGGAAGCTTAAAGTCAGGAAATACCGATATATCGCGTGAGGTAAATATAACAGGTGATTGTGTGGAGCCAAGGTACCTTTTCTTTTTACATTGTCTTGTTTTGATTTTGTGCTGTAATATAAGATCACTTAGCCGCTTATCTGAGCATAACCTTGCATTACCGTTGGTCTGCCCACTTTTGTTAAGTCCTTATACTGATAATTCTAAGGGAGAAACCCTGTCTCTTTTTACCAGAACAAATGTTGAGGGTCCCCCCTCTTTCTGGACAGGCAGCGTCCTATGTAGGTGTCTGTGCCCTTCCCAGTGGGGAGCGGGCAGGGTGGCGGGGGGGAGGGGCTTCATCATAACTACTTTTTATTTGAGTCGTTCTTCTCTCGATTTGTAACAGCCCTGGATAAACCATTGTTTACGCCTGGTTCTGTAGCGTTGCTAAGTTGTGACAGAGCTTGGATCCTGCGCCCAGGGGGCTTTTTTCAAAGAGCGTTTTGCTTAATTTGTAAACGGAAGACTGTTGCTGGAGGAGATTGGGAGAGGTGTCTCGGGGAGAGGGGAGCAGGGGGGCCTGGGACGGGGGAGAGGAGAATTTTGCAGAATGAAGGAGGTGTGCTCAGTATAATGAACTTCTCACACACTGACTCTTTTCAGAGGAGTCAGCTGGTCGAGCCGAGAAGCATGCGGGAGGGTGGGCTCGTGGACGGCTCTCGCCGGGGGACCGGAGGGCACCCGCCCCACAGGGAGGTCACCTTTCCGCGGGAGGGCCTTGAGCCCTTCCTCCGGAGGGGCCCTGCAGAGGTACAGAGATGCCCCGAGGCAGGGCCTGGCTCAGAGGGGCTGTTTGCAGAACCTGTCACTTCCGTTCTTGTTTTCTTAAATTTTCTTTCGGCTTGTTGTGGTTTTTTGTTTTGTTCTTTTCTTTTTTTTCTTTTTTTCTTTTTTTGCTGTCGTTGTTTTTAATTTCTTTGTTACTTAATTGAAGGTAAGCTCCACGCGCTTCTAGACCACTGGACTGACAGGGACCCTGTCGCGGGCGGTTGGGTTCTGGTGGAGGTCTGGTGCCGAATGCCCGGCGCGCTCCCCGCTCGGTTCCCTAGAGAGCCCGCGTGTCCGGCTGTCAAGAAATGCATCCCCAGTCGGGCCGGTGCTGCCCTCAGCAGATGGCTCTGGGCTCCTTTGCTGTCATACTGGCCTGCTCAGAGTCATTTTTAATCTCCCCTCCCTCCCTGCTTGTAGGATTGTTCTGGCTTCACACATTCACTGTTAGACCTGATTTTATTTCCCTGTAGTCAGGTGGAGTGCCCCCCCCCCACCCCCCGCCTTGTCTGTTTATTTGGTGTTGGGGGTGGGGGGGCTTGTGAAAGGTCGCCTTGGTTCTTTACCAATTTTTAAGAGACCTTATTCTAAAAAGGAATCCCTGACGGGTGGGGCAGATGATCGCCGCGGGGTGGGGAGACAGCCCTGTCCCCCCGTGAAGGAAGCCACAGGAGCTGAGATCGCTTAGGGGAAAGTGTAGGTATTTTACTGTATTTAATGAGCATTTCAATTAACCTTTTCACCTATTTTTAAAACTTGTGAATGGAGTGTTATTTTGGACATTGGTAAATATGAACTCTCCAAAGGCGGTTAGCCTTGATTTACTGCTAAATCCTAAGGATTATTGTGTAAGGTTTTTTTGCAACCTATTTAATCTTCATCATTTAAAGCGCCCGTGGTTTTGTGTCCTAGAACCAAAGCAGAACTCGCTGATTCATATTGGATCCCAGGTATACCTTCTTCTGGTAGCGTATGGTTGGGAAGGATCATTGGTTTTACACGCTGTAACCTGCCTTTTCTAGAGAATGTTTTTAAAACTCTTAACTCTCTCTCCCCTGTGCCGGGTTTTGGTAGGAAGGCTTCTCGTCAGGACAGGCAGGTAGAGCAGGCGTCTTCAGTGAGGACTTTTTTCCCTTTTATTTCTGACCAACTAAAATGTAAAAAGACCGTGTTGGTGTTTTGCTGTGTTTTATTTTACTAATTTTAAAACGTACCTAGAAAAATACAGGCCCTTTAAAAAGAAACAACGTAGCCTTTAAATTCTGAGTACGTTGCACAGACTGGACAGGTACGCTATTTTTTAATATATTCTGTATTTAGTAGTTTC